CTTTAGAGACAGAAGCAATTACGGTAAGAAGATATTACAACATAGAATTGTCATATCAAACAATGAGGACATTAAACAGTATTTAGTAAGATACAGTGGTACCAAAGAAGATGATAGAATTACAGTTGATAAAATACCTGATGCTGATAAAATTCTCAGACAATACAGAGCTGATAAAAGAAAATAACATTAATTTATTTCTTGGATCAGCCTTTTTTAGAGGGAGGAAGTGTCAGCCACAGAGTACATGTCACAGTACCTTTCATGTACCAAGTAACTGCAACACCTGTACTTATGTATATAAGTACTTATCCATAATGTTGATTACCTTTACCTCTTGTTATCTTATTATTATCATTAACTTATCTTATCTTATTTACCTTACATTTATCTTATCTGTTAATTACTTATCTATCAAATACATACCCGTGTTCTACATAAGTAATTATCACTTACCTTTCACTCCCTTGTCCGTGAAATACCTGTACCACAAGTTATCCCTCTGCTACAGTATTTTCACGGTCAAATATTATTACAAATAAATATGTACAGGTATTGAATAGTAAGTATTAAGTATCAATAGAATTAATACATTCAATACATGCACTGATCACAATTATGACTACATTATTAGAGGATCTGTTAAGTGCACATCAAGAGCAACTAGTACATTGATCAACTAGTACACAATTATGATGTCACTTACAGATCATGACAAATAATGATCAGTCACTCAATTGATGTGCTCATTCTCCTGGCCAAAGCTCCCTTGATTCTGAGCGCTCATTCTTTCCCCCCTTCAGTATTCTGGAACTTATAATCCGTGCCTCTTTCACTGATTAATCCCCAGAATATTCAGACACCAGTTAAACCAGTTAACATTTATATTGATACAGTACCCGTAACCAACATAAATCTTGTCTACATTTATTGTTCTTAAGCTTCAGTACTCTTACTCAACTTATCCACAGTATTCATAGCCTTGCTGAATATTCCCATCAACAATACCTGTTAATCTTCAACTAATTTTGTTAAAGCTTAATAAGTATTGTTAGCCCATTCCCTTTTGGGAATAACCAAATCAATCCCAGGTGAGTCTTAGTACCCTGGATGCCTATTAATACCTTGTATTGATCCGGATGCGCTGTTGATAGCAAGCCTCTCAGTAAAGACCATACTGATAGAGTGAAACCTCCTCTTTACAGGACTGGTATTAATCACCCACTACCTAACACTCACCACGCTCACAAATTACAGTCAACTCATAGTAACAACCTTTTTACTATTAAATACTCAGGTTAGTTACCCAGAGGCTGACAGTTACCCAGAGGCTGACACCAGACAAGTTTGTAAAATTAAATGTTGATATATTTAATACCTGATCTCCAACCTCAAACTGGTGAGCTTTGTTAAGTGTCAAACTTAAGGATGTATTTCAGGGTTAGTAATAATAACAAAGAAATACATAGAAAAGAAAATTATAGGGCTATGAAAAAAGAGAGGTACCTTAAGGCAGGAACAATAGCACAAGGGACGCAACAATGGGGAGAAGAAAAGAAACAAAAGGAAGAAGGACTAAGAGTAAAGAGATGTCAATGTCTTAGTCATGTCATCAACCTGAGCATATAGTAGGGTGATTACCTACTGTGATGAAAAGGAGATTCGACAGTTCTTAAGTGTTGGCAGAGAGCTGATTAGGAAGGGAAACAAGTGTAGAATTGTACCGTTTGAGTCAATGATGAAGAGAGACAAGCAAGTAGGAAATGTAGAGTCGATTGATAAGACGAAAGAAAAGAAGTAGACACTTATTAGTTATAGAGAATAGACTAGAGTGGCAATGATGATTCCGAGGCTAATGAGGAATTGGATAAAAAGGAGAACCAGTAATGTTGGTTTCAGGAATCATGAGGAAGGAAAAACAAGAGCTAGTTCAAAATAGAGAAGCCTATATATGAGAGCAAGAGAGTCGCTCGATGATGTCATTGGAAAGTACTTCGACTGAAATTACATAATTGTCGACTTTTGTAAAAACACCGCTAAAGCACTGGAGGGATCAAGATCAGATCTCAACAAGCTTGATGAGTTTTATCCCATCTAGTATTCTTGTAATCTACAGCTAACTTGACAAATTGAGCCACATAGTTTCCAGCTAGCTTTTATTAGTCATCATGAAATCGAAATCAGAGGCGCTAAGATGTATATTATATGTAGTGTTTTGGACATTAAAAATGGGCTGGAACCCAAGGAGTCAGCCAACCTCTTTCTAATTCATAAGGTGTTTTATTTCTATGTTTTCTAGAATGATAAGCATATTCAAGTGCAGGTAATAATGAACCCCAATCGTGAGTATAGTTGTCTTTGTCTTTCAACCCCATCCCATAAGCACAATATCCATCAAGTTCAGAGGCACCTTGGTGAGGTGTGCACTTTTTTAAATCTGGTGCCCTCAACCGCCAATTACAATGACAACTCCCATATAATCAGGACATGTATACATACAATGCTGGGCCAGCTACACTAACAGTAGTGTTAGTCTAGCATAGTGTAGCACAAATACGCTACAATTGTAGCATAGTGTTAGCGCAGATACAGAAATCTGCGCTAACACTACGCATGTGGGCAGAAAAAAAGGGCCCACTACGATGCACTACAGTGCATTTTAGCAGTTTTTGCCGCTCAAAGCACTGTAGCACAGCCTAGCATAGCATACTGGCACTAACAGCGCACTAACACTACAGGTTTGGCACACTGTTTTGAGGGCTGCTATCCTAATGTTAGTTGGCTGTTTAGCATAGCGTAGCAGCCCTGCATTGATACATAGCCCCCCCCCCCCCCTCTGCATTTTGCAGGATCCACATCTGCCCTCTGGCTCAATGCATCCAACCCAGAGCAACAACAATAAGATAGGAAGACTGCCCCACAATGACCGCCATCATGCCCTAGTCCAACTCCAATTTCCTTACACACACTCCTTCCTCCAGCACATCAACAAAAGAAGAAACAAATGCAAATACAAGAGTGAAGGATGAAGGATGAAGGATGTGTGTGTGTGTTCATTAGATGATTAAATTATAACAAGAACTTTGAGAGAATAAAAAAAACAAAGAAAGAAAAGGTCAAGTATATATATATATATTATGAGTGTCTAAATAAGAAGGAGAGGAGAAGAGTTTGAATGAACGATAGAAGTACTTATTATAGTGAAATAAACCCCAATTATGCAATAACAAGTGATGTATATGTTGATCAGAGAGTCCGTCAGAGAGAAAAACAAAGAAGGTGTGTATAGAAGAAGAACAGATCAAGAGAGGTGAAGCTTTCTAGAGAAAAGGCTTGAGAGGAAATTCGAAGAGTTAGTGGTACCAGTAGTCCAAGTGGTGGTAGTGTTAGACGAGGAAGAAGAAGAAGAAGAAGAAGAAGGGAGTTTAACGGAGGGGGGGTTAAGCAGAGTGGAATGGGAGCCAAGTCGTTTCCACGCGGACTGGACAGCCGGGCTCGTCCACGTCTTCCGGGCGAGACGGTTGAGGGAAGGATGATTCCTAGAGTGAAGAGGGGCAGAGGGAAGCTTAAGATGCAGATTATGGTCATATGCCTCGCCCGAAGAGGAGAGGAAGAGCTCGACGAAGGAAGAAGCAGAGGAGCGACTCGAGCTACCAGACGAGCCCCGCCGGCGAACACTGTCGGCTCGACGATGATGATGGAGCGGAGATGAGTTGGGCGAGCGGATTCTGCTATCAAGACTGTTGTTGCTGTGTTCGCTCATATTGACCAAACTGTCGGGGTCGTCGTAGAGGCTCCTGGGCACACTGCTCCGCCGACTGTCCTCCGGACTACTTGTACTGGTGCTGCTGCTCATCCGGAAACTGGTCTCACTGGCCCGTGTGCCCGGCCGACTCTCCCGACTGCTGCTGTTGCCTCTTCCGTTCTCCTTCACTGGATTCGTGGCCCGATCCGTCTCCTCGTCTATCGCATTTAGTGAGTCAAGACAGAGCAGAGATCGCGCGGCTATCTGGATCAAGACTTGATCGGTTAGTCGATCGTCTGGTTCCTCTATCGATCCCGGCTCTTCTGTGTTTGCTAGAGATGCGCCAGATCGGCCGACGTTCGCAGTCTGGTAGTCTTGCTCTTGGCCATTCGAACGTCTGGCTGGGTCTTCGGGTATCGTCTGCTGCGTCAACTCTTCTTCTTCTTCTTCTTCTGATTCGTCGTCTTCAAGATAATATGGGGTGATATATTGCAGGCCGTAGGCGCTTGATTGTGACGAGGAACTGGCGATTGAAACTATCTTGCTGAACGCTATGGTTGTACAAACATACAGACAATGACCAACCAGAGTGGGGAGCACATACACACACAACGGAATAGAAGTACATAACCAACATGAAAAACAAACATATAGACACAGAGAGAAATTAGGCACAATCAGCGGCAATCGTGAGGGGATGGAAAGAAAAAAAAGAAAAGGATGTCAATAAATTATCGACTATATAAACTTTTTTTTTGGTGGAGAATGAGCATAGAAGAAAGAAGAAGTTAAGTACGTCGATGAACGCCGGTCATAAACCGAGAATGTAACGAGTTATGAGGCAAAGCAGAAGCATGATGAGAAGAAGTCGAAGAAGAAGAAGAAGAAGAAGTCAAAGAGCTGGAGAGGAAGGGTGCTCTTGGTTCTTTTGGAGGCAGTTGAGGTTTCTGTACACGAAGGCTGGACCTTCCCGACTTCTGATTAGATTTCGAAGGGGTAGCTGATTTCGGCAATAGTTCGTCAAGCGGCGTGCGGGAGAGATAGACTTTGAGCGAGCTTGACTTGGAGGAATTAGTGCAAGAAGATCCCGAAGAGGAGGGTTTTCCGGTGGAGATTTCATGACTTGGAAAGTGAATATCAAGGATGGAGAAGGAGCCGATTGAAGCAGACATCAGATGGTTAGTTGAATGAAAAGAAAAAAGGAAAAAAGGAAAGGAAAGAGAAGATCTAACCTCATGATGTCATCGACAAGGTATTGATAGAGTTCCTCGCCGTGTCTCTTGAGTCGGTCGCGTTTGATCTGCTCAGCTACGGCGGTGGCTCGTTTGAATGTCTTGGGTGAAGGTGCATGGACGGAAAGGTAGAGGAAGAGCGGGTCTTCGAAGAGCTTATGTCCTTGAGCTACTAGCTCCGAGGTTGAGCTGTTCTCCGTCACTCGTAGTTCGTTAGCTTCCTGCACATATACATATAGGATACAAAATATTTGAAAAATTTGGACAAGAAAGATCAGATCAGATCGGTTGGATGCGTGTTCAGATAATTTTTCATACGATTTTTGACTGACAATCGCGGTTATCTGTCTCTGAGAATCGAGGGGAGAAGTGGGAGGACTTCGATCATGGTCTGCAACAGCTTCAGTGAAACCAAGCAAAGCCAGGATGATAGCAAACTCGAGACCTGATAGATAATCGATCAAGAACCAAGGGAATCAGAGGTTAATAAAGCGATTGAACGAATTGACTGTCTCATAAATCACTGACCTCGTGGATCGTGTAGATTCTCGATCCGTCTGATGTTAAAGTCGAGGAATTGGCAGGATGGAGGGACGGCCGAAGAACCTGGTCGATAGATTGCACATGGATAATCTGGGTCTGGTTTCCGACTCTTTTTTTTATCAAAAAGAAGAAGGATTGGAGATCATGAGCGATGTAGGTCAAAGTGGAAGAATGTGTACTGTACAGACCATCCAACAGGTATAACCTCTCTTATTACCAGCCATGCCAACGATATCTTTCCTCCAACAGAACTTGAGGATCTTGTCGAAATAGAAGGTCCATTCGAAGTTGATGTATCCCGAGTTTTTGAGCTCGATGGTCGAGGATGGATTGGTTAAGGAGATCAACTTCAACTTGGATGAGAGGTGTTGGAAGACTCCCAATGGTGCCAAGGTCGCCGCATGATATAATTCCGTCCTCGTCTCACCACTGCCCTACATTACATTAAAAAGAAGTGTCAATACTTTTTGAATGATTGATGGATGTGATAAGTACTCCTCACCTCAGGTGCTCTGAGCCGGAAATAGACGGGCTCGCCGGAGGATTCTTGGATGAGGAACAGCTTGTCGGGCTCGTTAGTTGAGCGAACGAAGTTGAGAGTATAGAGGTTGACGTCCAACATCGCATCCACTTTGGTATAAATAGGAGCGGTTCGGGAAGAAATAAATATTGTTGTGATCGATCTCAAGAAGGGCTTGATTCACTTCATCCAGAGGGACCAGCTGTAAGAGAGGGAATCTGCAAATGAGTGTTGTACATGAGAATGGCAAAAGAAGAAGGAGTCGAGACAGGATTCACAGGGGCCTGGAGGCTGTGACTGTCGAAGGCCAAATTACATAATGAAGCCCACTACATAAATGGGGGAATTCTAAGCACCGGCCGGGCGCTTGCTGGAGCAGTGGAGAGTCCAGAGCAGACGAGCGTGCCTTCCTTAATCGTTCTGGAGAAGAAGATCGCACAAGAGTCTCAGTCGAGACGATGGAAGCTGCTGAGTTGTCAATTAGTCCCGCCGGCAATCTCGCTGCGAATGGAACATAGGCTGTGTTGACCGGCCTTGAATGATTTACTCGACCTCGTTGTATGCGTTCACTTCTGTTGGATCGGATCACTTCACTCACCATGACCCACAAGCCCTTATAATCTTGGTGGGTTGAACTGGGACAGATCATGACGATGTTTGCGGAAGGAAGGCCATAAATATGTGAATGGAATTTTTCACGACTCAGACGGAGACAAACATAAACATCCAAGAGAGAAAATGCACAAAAGCTGAGGACACCCAATCCACAAGCTACACACATATTTGCATAAAGAGCTCTAACTCATGGAAACACTGGCTCTATGTCATCGAATTAACATTTGACCCACAACAAACTTCTTGTATGAGTATGTAGGGCACCCTCAATAGATCGGCTTGACTTGGAAGTATTTCTTAAACATCTCGTAAAAAACATAGCCCAAAAAGACAACCACGAGCACTAAAGAGGTGAATATGATGTGACTGACACAGGCGTTGCTTTGGGTTGCGATTGACTGTTCAGTTTGTCTTCCCAAGGCTTGTTGAGTGACTTCGCATCCAGTTGTACCAGACCGCCTACTATCAATCCCTGCAAACCGAGCCCTACGAGTCAGTTAATCATGAAGTGATGTTTGTTTTCATGACAGAATGTAGTATGGATGAGCCATCACGAGACCAACGGCTGATGTTCTGAGGATTCTTACCTCGGTTGCAATTGCAAGCGGCACCACTACCAGAGCCCGACCGATCGGCCTGGCTTTCGGGATCGCAAAGCCGACAGAGCTGCTGCTCCGTTGTCCCGGTCCGGGGAGAAAGATGACAAGGAGAAGCTCAGAGGATGTAAAAATTGTATACATTCGACAATCTAATGGTCGTTGCACTCAAAACCACTCACGATTCCTTGACTAGAGCTTGCTCGCAATGGATGGACTGCTACACCCGTTGGATTGATTTTCGGAGGAGGGTCTTTATACACTGGACCTAACTGGATCGTCATCGTTCCCCAATCAGCTTCGCTCTTGTGAGTCTAGCATCGTCGATACTTGTGCTCACCTGTTTCTGAGAGCTTGCTAGCACGCTGTTGGGCATTCCAATCGATTTATCAAATCTGCTTGGTGGAGCACTAACGACATACGTCGCATCTGCTTTGGAGACCTGCACAGCAAGGCATTTGCCCACAAGCTACGCCCCATCCATCCAACCGGACAGGATTGTTAGCTCAGCTTCGAAAATGGTTTGTGGAACTTGTCGATTTTCCAGCTTCTGCAATTGGCCCCAACAAATTTGCTTCTAATAAAATTCCCCGCAAATCACGTCCTGGGTCGAAGTATCGAAACGTGAATTTCCGTGTAAGGTCTGTCATTCAAAACAACACACCTTCAGACTGCTGAACAGGTGCTTCAACGAGCCGAAACTCCTCCAAAACACCGCAGTCAGGTTTTGAATCTTGAAGCCTGTCGCTATAAGCTTCATGAATATAATCCGAGGCTCCACGATTCTTGCCAGTTTCGACTCCTCTTTCGAGCCCATCGGTGCACTAGGATATCTCTAGTATGTAGTACAACCCACTCGGTCCGGTAAGTTTTGGCAATGGCAGAGACATTCATGAGACTGCCCCGTCCGCAGTGCTTTTGTTTCAGGGCCTGGAAGTTGAACTTCCCTGTTGAAGAAGATCAACTGTACAAGACCAGGCTCTCCTGGCCCCCGTACATACAATGCTCCACAAGATTTTTCTTGTGCGAAGTCAGGGATCGATATAAGAATCTGTCTCAAATCACCCTGATCTGGGTTGGCTTATACTACGTTTAGGGCCTGTACCATAGGACATGAAAATTAAATTTCTCAAAATTTATCTTGCTCAAAACTTTATATTATCAAAATTGAACATAACTAGCAGCTATTCTTTGGCATGGAAGTGAACAATTTCAACACCAGATCTCTCCAATTGTTCCCAGTTTTTGTGTAGAGGATGTAAAAAATGCCCATTTTTGAAAGTTGAACCCTATGGTACAGGCCCTTAATAGGTCAGTTTGACAGCATTTGGGGGAGCGGGCTCAACAGGGCTGCCAACCCTTTTCTGGGGTTTTTTTAGGGGGGGGGGGCTTGAATATTTGGATATCCTAGAAAAGCAGAGTTGGTTCAAGCTGAAATATGCAACTGTAGGGCTATTTTATAATTAGGAGATATGGACAAGAGATGTTTTTTTTGGTACAAGAAGAAGAGAGAAACCACTTGCCATTTCTGATGACACATTTCATTCCATTTGTATGTAGGATGCTGCTGTGTTCAAAATCTCATGATTTTGCAGTTGATCCATCTTTCATCCTGGAGTGGTATCCTGTGGTATCATGTATGGGAGGCTCCCCGGGGGAGACTGCTACGTATGTACCGTACTACGGGGACCTCGCGGGGGCGTCCGGGGAAGTGGGCAATGATGCTGATGATGTCATTGTGATCGGATGAGCCAAAGAAAAGCAGTCATCGAATCTTGCAAGCGAAGGTGGTTGAAGGAGTGAAAGGACCAACCAACCGAAAAGTTGCTCAACCATCTTCCTATAACACCCTCAGTCAAGACCGTTCTCTCGTCGGAGAGGGAGAGAGACGTACTGAGTAGTATTATTTTCTTCTCTTTGATGCGATCGATCGAGTTGAGCTATGTTGTTCGCTGGTGGGGTCCAAGTCCACCACAAAGGAATCCAAGCCCTTGTGGTGGTCCGTTCTCAGCATGTCTAATCATAATATCTACTCCGTCGGCCAGGTTCAGCTTGCAGACTTTGGTCAATACATAGCAGCAGCCTGCAACAAAACTCTCAAGTGTATTAATCCTACCAAAATACACAGACCTCACAACCAACCTCACCCCCCTGATCTTCTCCGTATCGATTTAAAATCGACAAGGTTTCTTTCAAGATCGCTGGAAGGATCAAGCTCAAAAACACACACCCATTTCGACTCCGAGCGAGATGCTAGACACTCCAGTCAGGAAACTCAACTCCGACATCCATCCTCACCAATCACACCTCCAATCACCCGATGCACTGGCTAGACGATATAAACTATTAGAGAAACTAGGCCAGGGTAACTTTGGCGTGGTCTTCAAAGCCCTAGATCGAGTCACCGGTGAAATCGTGGCCGTCAAAGAGGTTGATCTCGAGAATAGTGACGAGGACATTTCAGAGTATGTCATCTCGAACCATATATCAATCAATCAATCAAACTTATCGTCTCACTGCCACATCCCTACTTCTTTTTCTTTTTCTTCCTGACTTTAACACCATCAAACCAATCAACCATCAAGAATCCAGAAGGAAATCAGCCATTTGGCCGATTGTGATTCTGAACACATCGTCAAGTATTATGGAAGCTTCGTACGCGGTTACAAGTTATGGATAGGTATGTAAGCTTCTCCCCAAAATTGAGCCCTACCTAACATCACAATCAATCAATTGAATCAACCAACTGATTTGATGCCACCAGTGATGGAATATCTCGCAGGAGGATCGTGTCTAGACTTACTAAAACCCGGGCCATTTCCAGAGACCGGGATCCAGACGGTCATGCATGAGTTATTACTCGGGCTAGAGTATCTTCACGCACAGAAGAAAATCCATCGGGACATAAAGTCTGCAAACATCCTCGTCTCCTCCAAGGGCAAGATCAAACTCGCCGACTTTGGCGTGGCTACCCAACTCAGTAATCATAAATCGAGACGACATACGTTTGTGGGTACCCCTTTTTGGATGGCACCTGAAGTCATCAAACAATCTAGCTATGATGAGAAAGCTGATATATGGAGCTTAGGTATCTACTCTCTCTCTCTATTCATAAAAAAATTGCAACATGAATTCTGAACCATAAATCGTTCTTTTTTTGTTTTTGTTGCTCCTGGTAGGTATCACCGCAATCGAACTAGCAAAAGGGCAACCTCCACTCTCAGAATATCATCCCTTACGGGTACTCTTCCTGATACCCAAAGCAAAGCCACCAACTTTGGAAGAAACTTTGGAGCCCGAAAGACTAGCACAATACTCAGAAGACTTCCAAGATTTTATCAATGCGTGTTTATTGAAGGATGTCGAATTAAGGCCGACAGCGAGTCAGCTGCTAGGCCATCAGTTTATCCGCAAGCAAGTTCCGGCTCCCAATCTCAAAAAAGGATTTACAGGATTCATCACCCATGGACACAAGTTTCTGAGCGCAAGCTCTCTAGATCTTAGTCCTGGTCTTAGCAAAGCTTCGGCTAGCATCGTCGAACTTATCGATCGACATAGCGTCTGGAAATCGAAGAAGAAGAATCTACAAAAGAGTCACAATAGCTCGACTGACCCAGCTGGCACGGTCAAGAGTTCAACGGGTCATCTGAGCCACTCGAATGCAGATTACAGGACGGCCAAGAGCTCTCATTTCAATAACCGGAATGACACCGTCGTTTCAGCCTGGGATTATCAGGAGACGATGAAGCATGCCGAAGAGGTCTACGAGAACATCATCAACGATGCCGATCAGGATTTAGTCGAGAACCAGATCAAACAACTCGAAGAAACCCAAGAAGGCTTCCTTCGGCCCGAACTTATCTATGGACGAGAGACCTTGGGGGACGAGGATGGGGATGAGGAAGAAGAGCTCGAGGAGGCCCAGAAGGCGATGGAAGCATCTCCATTGAGGATGACCCATGGTGTCCCCGCTGGATGTGAGGATGACCCCGATCACTTCTTCACCCAAAGCGCCTCTACTTCACCTACCGACCACTACCAAGCCCCTCGGATGAACACCTTCACCCGCTCGATCCCCACCTCTCCCACACTTGAGATCCACAACTTACCAAGCTCTCAACGCCCACTCTTGAATCCTGGCCCGACCACCTCAACCTTGCATTCCAATCGCCTCCAACCCGGATCATCATTCGAAGCGTATGTCTTGTTCTTGATCAAAACACCGTCCAAAAGCCATGTCTAACCATAAACTTTACCCCCTCCATTTTCGTCTTTAGGACTAGTACTACCCTTCGCCCCTCTCGCCAAACGACGCTGACCGAAAGACTAGCACAATTGTCAGTCAAACAGGACTCGAATGCCCACCATACTCCAGGCGGGGACTCGAACCAGACCGTCAGCTCGAAGTCCGGCTCTCGCTTCCTGACCACCGGGTCCACCGGCAGCCGCAAGCCCAGTGACCCGTTCAATGAGCCCCAGACAACCAGTAAATCTCCCGCTCCTGGCTCCAAGCTCGGCCAGTTGGTCTTGGAAGACGTGATATTGCCTCTGCTCGATCAAGTCAGTCTTTTCTCAAACCGCCTCTTCATCATCCCTTTCCCTCCTTCACTCTCACACTGTTTCTCCCTCCCTGTTTTTTATTCCATCCTTACTTGCCTCCTCTATTCATTACCCCCTATTAACCGATCCTGGGTTTTTCCGTAATCCTTAGACTACGGAAAACCATGCCGACTACGAAACGAAATCTATCGTCGATTGCTCACATCGGAGTCCTCAAACAGATCGCCAATGGGTTCAGCGATTTAAAATGAGCTCCGATAGTC